GAGGGTGATTATGGTAACTGACGAATTCGTCAGTTTTGGAACCATTAATTTCCTCATTAAATTCCGGATTTCCCTTACTTGCTTCCAAAGCAACCCATGACGGTCAACCCTAAGAGGCAAACCCTAAATCTCGTTTATTATATAAATGACTCTTTTCTTTGAGAAGAGGGACACAACTTTTAGCTCTCTTTTCTTCAGACGAATATAGAATCCTTCTAGCAATTTGGCTTACGATTACTGTGTCTAGATTCGTAAGTGTTCTCTTAGATTATCCTATGTTGAATTTCTTGCAACACATGGATAAGGTAGAAATATCAATTCTTAAATATTCACACGAACCAAAGGGTATCCAGATCTCCAGCATAAACACTAATTCCTGTAACACATGATTGCTCTTTGTTTCTTCTCCATAATTATGTGGTTTTTGTTCATGAATTAAATGTTCATTGCAATGGATTAGGTCGCAATTTGATCTTTGGATGTTTTCATTGTTTGTTTTTACTTCGTGTAATATGGTTCGTTTCTAACCTACATTGTCCTCTTCAAAACTCACAAGTGCAAAATAATCATTTTACATCTACCATTAATGAAAACCATAACAAAATAAAACAATGATGGTCTGAAAAATTGTTAATTAGATGAAATCTTTAACTTTTGACATACACAAAAACGAAAAATGTAACTTATCTTACAATTTATTAACATTATATGAAATTAAACTAAAAGGTTCAACTATCAGAGCATTTCTAACGATGTTCATCTAGGATGGCAACTAGGAACCATGTCGAGATCCTATCTACAACTAACAGATCTAAGACATCTTATCCATATCCACTCTCAAAAGACTCGGTTGCCAATTCTATGTTGTATCATTCTCCTACCCAAATTTTGGGTATTTATTACAATGTTGCAACTATATGGCTTCCTATGGATATGTCCAACCCACCTTAATCTTCATTCTTTCATTTTTCTACAACTTATTATTGACCAACATTTGGATTTGTATATCATTGGCTAATCTGTCACCCTATAGAATTATCCCTTCAATTTCAATGGTGCCCTTATATTGCACAAAACTCTAGCAGCTGCAATATATATGCAACAAATATCCCTAACCCCTTCTATCTTTAAGCATCCTCATAATCATATGATCCCCATTTATTTATTTTTTAAATTTATCCACAAGACACAAGGAGGAGTCGACTTCTCATGTAGTTGTAGCGGTTTAAAGGTCCCTATTGCATTTAGAACACCTAAAGTATTTTATTTAAAGATATAACACCCTCATTTTTACATTACCCTCATTTAAATGACATCTTTTTAACCATATTGACCAAGAATGACTATATGCCACTCCAATCACAACATAAAATAAAAAAATAAAAATCAATCATCTTTAACACCATAGCTTTTTCAACTCAAACCATACCTACACATCAAATCAAAACATCGTATGCTAAATGTTTTACTATAAAATAACATTTTTTTATATATTTAGTTACAGTTATTGTTATTACTGAACTTATTTTTATTAAGACATTCGCATTTGTGTGTGCATAAGGAGCAATAATATCAATTTAGAAGTGAATCAATTTAGAAATGTTGAGGCCAGAGCAGTCTCACATGACTTAAAATTTCTTACAAAAACCACAAAATCTCACATTACAAGTTACAAAATTATTTAAATTGTATTTTGCTGATGAAGGTGAAAACCTTAAGGGAAGTAAACAGGCCAATTGTAGTAGTATGAATCACGAGCTTCTTTGCTCCAGTTCTCATTCCACTATAAACAGAAAATTAATCAGAAAAACTCGATCAAATTCATAATATTTTGGCATATTTATACATATACATATACATATATACATACCGAAAATTTGTATGGCTGTTTCTTTTGCATTGCCTTCTTCCAATGATATTGCTCATGTAGCATTGCATGATCATGCCAACTAAACATTCAAGTATATCGATTATCAAACAAATACAAGGTTAAAACATAAAAATTTGAGTTTGTGTGATGCTTATTGCACTTAGAACATGATAAAAAGGAGATAAATTTCTTGGATTCTACATTATGGTAAGATCGGCAAATGATATATATGAATTAATGGCAACATAATATAAGCTTTCCCAAATTCATCCTGAAAAGTAAGGAGCAGAAAGAACACAGAAATTATATCAAGCGATTCCTTTTCTTTACCAATACTGATTGAACTTTAAGTGAAATTTTCATGGGACTTTAAACATGGAACGAAAAACATTTCTGTGAGTTTTGATGATTAGAACCCCTAGCAGAAAATTTCGACCTGTTTACGCCTAAAATAGAAGCGAAGTGATTACGTTCGATGAGAAATTAAACGAACAAAACACACAATCGAAGGAAGGCATCGAGAAATTGACGAAAATGTTAGAAAAAATGGAAATTGAATAGGGAAGAGAGGTGTATGAATACTTGAATCTATTAGAGAGTTGCCACATGTAGGGGTTGGACCAAGCCATGGCGGAGTAAGCCATTGAACCGACCCATATGCAGAGGAATTTCTCTGGACCAGAGTGTGGAACACCTGGGTCTCCTCTGTACGCGTTTCCAAAGTACTTCTCCATTGATCTTCTCTGTATGCGCTAGGGTTTTGGTAACAAGGAGGTAGGGGATGAAATGAAACCGAGGGATGTGTGCCTTTATCTCGACTTATCCGCTTTTCTTATTTTCTTTAATTACATTTTTAGTCCCTCGTTTTGTTGTTATTTGCTTTCACGGTCCCTAAAATATTTAAGGTTTCTACTCATGCTTATGAGTTTGGAAAACAAGGTCTAGGTAATTGAACTCTTTAAAGGGTTTTAGTCAAGGTTCTAAAAAGCTCGTTATGGCTTCGCTATGGTGCGCCACGACTCCAAGGCTTGCACATGCCACCATTTTTTGTCAATACGCCGTCTTAACTCATATATGTGTATAAAAATGAATAATAGTTGAAAATACATATAAAAATATTAATTATATAGAAATTTGCCTCCTTAAGTCGCGTCTTACAAACGTCATGACTCGCCAAGGCTCGGAAAAACTTGATGCTTGACATTGCCGCCAAGTCACGCCTTACATTATTTAGAACCTTGGTTTTAGTAGATCACCAATTCCTTCAAGACCTATATTGAATTAGAAGGTCATTTGATCCCAATCATCCAAACCTTTTCTTCATGCTTATTGAAGGCTTAATCATATCACTAAAACTACACATTATTGGAATAAAATTCAATAAATAAATATCAATGTTAGATGTATATTTTCACGGTCCTCTAACTTGAATGAATATGTAGCTAAGGATCACAGTGAAAAATAGATAGCGTTGATCAATAAGACCTATTGTTTGTGATTTTATCGAGACAAGTGAGTTTTCCACTTAACAGGAAGGCTCTTCATAGATGAGTTACTTTGTATAATTACATATCGAGGGTGAATTTGGCAGTTATATCTATTTATCTCCCTTCGGAGCTCGAGGCACGTTTTTATAGATGAGATTGTGTTATATTTAATGGGTATACAATTTACATATGTTTATTACACCATCTTATTGGGCCATTCCATGCTACCGTTGCTTATGTCGGGAGTCATTTCTAGAAGTAGACATCTAACCTCAGGTGAAGGTAGAATTGTCAAACATCTATTGCCTCCTAATTTCATTTATATGGGACCATTGGTTCTATTGGTGTTGTTTATATGTAAATTGTTCATGTTAAACTATTTTTAATCGTTCTAAATTCATAAATTGTATAAAGAAAAATCTAGTTGATATGTATGTATGTAATATGCATTTTAAGTTCTTAGATTGAAGAAATATCAAGTGATTGATTTAGGTTATTCAAAATGGGTTGTATTTGTAGAATGACATGGGGTTATAGCTTCTATTTCTAAGAGCATGTCTCTACACAAATACAAATTTATGTTAATTCTTGACCTAATATGTTTTATGCCCCCATAACCATATAAAGTTGAATTTATGTTCTGTAACTATAAATATGAGTTGTATTTGACATATAATTTTTTTTGAATAATTTGTAGAGTTTTTAATGTTTATTTTGAAATTTAAATAGGTGAACTCGAGTTAACATATTTATTAAACAAGTTGGGTTGACCAAAAACTAAATATGCGAACCTAATTTCAACCTATTTAATAAACACGTTGGGTCGGTTAATTTTCATCTTGTTTAACTATACGTATCAATTCAAAAATGACTAAACATGATTTATTGCCACTAGTAACGATTTCATTGTGATTTTTACATGTGTATTAATGTCTTGATTTTCATATATTAATTTGTATATATTTGCCAAAAAAAAAACCTTTGAATTATAATCCTATTAAAAATCAAGATATTAAAAAATAGAAAATTTAAATATCATTTTATATTTTCTTTCTATATATCTTAAACATGATATAAGATGGATCTTAAATATGATATTTAAGATGAATAGAAAGATAAATAGAAAGAGATGGATCTTAAATTGATAGTTAAGATGGATAAAGAGATAAATAGAAAGAAATATAAAAGGATACACGTATAAAAAAACAAATTATTTATTGAAAAATATTTCTTTTGGGCAAACATTTAGTGGGTAGTATCGTCTTTTCCAAACTCCTACCCTTACTCGTAATTTTCTCCCCTTCTATAAATACCACCCCCTCTCCTGGTTTACTCATCAATCAGGATCTAGGGTTCATCAAGTCATTCAAAATCACTTTCATGAATTACTCTTCAAAATTGATATTTGGGATCTCCAAACTCCTGATTTGATTGCACAATAGGCGAATTTGTAGTGATTCCCTTCAAATTTCAAATTCCCACGAAACAAACGGTACGCCGTGAATTCAATTTTGTTGTGTATCTCCCAAATTGTGATATCAGGATCAATTCACATCGCTAGGGTTCCAATTCTTTCAAGTTCCTGATTTCGAACGAGTTCAATTTCGTTATCGAGGAACCCTTCATGATACGAGAGTCTGAATATGAGCAATGGAGGTGGAGTAGACGACAACGAGTTCGATGAAAAGAAAATTCGAGTAGCCGCTGATGAATTCGGTAGAGCAGTCGCAAAAGTAGCAGTAGCTCAGATATGCGAGCGTGTTGGTTTCCACAGTGTTAACGATTCTGCTCTAGAGTCTCTCGCCGATATTGCTATCAGGTACGTGAAAGATTTAGGGAAAACCTCAAAGTTTTACGCTAATGTAGCCAATAGAACAGAGTGCAATGTGTTCGACGTAATTCAAAGCTTGGAGGATTTGAGTTCTTCTGTCGGGTTTCCAGGCGGGTCAGAAACCTGTACAAATTTGATCCGTTCTAGTTCTTCCATGAAGGAGATCATGGAGTACGTTGAAGCCATTGAAGAAGACGAACTTCCTTTTGCTCAACCAATTCCCACTTTTCCGATTGTTAGAGATAGAAGATTAACCCCAAGTTTTCTCCAAATGGGTGAAACACCAGAGTTCAAACACGTACCTGATTGGCTACCTGCATTTCCAGATCCCCATACTTACATTCACTCTGCTGTATGGAACGAGCGGACTTCAGATCCAAGATCAGATAAAGTTGAGCTCGCTAGACAAAGAAGAAAAGCAGAAAACTCATTGTTGACTTTACAAAAACGATTGCTGTCTAAATCATCTCCAACATCATCTTCTTCTGAGGTCGCAAATGGCAGTAGCAAGAAGATCCGATTTGGATTCGGTGAGAAGCCAGTTAGTTTGTCAGATAAACACGTGAATGATGTGAATTTGGAGAATCATGTGTCTATATTGGAGGCGTTTGCACCTGTTATTGAAGCTTTGAATAGTAGGGTTTCTGAATCTGGTGAGAATGGTGAAACTGAAAGAGATGTTCTTGATAAGAGACCTGCTGTTCGATTGAATTTTAGTAATGGAAGGAAACTGATTGGTGATTCCTTGGATTTGAGGTTATGGAATAGGGGTACTGGAAGGATTTCATCATGGTTTGGGCGTGATGATGTGATGGATGAGAAGAAGAGGAGAGCTGAGTATATTTTGAGACAATCTATGGAGAACAGGTTGGATCTTGCTCAGTTGTAGAGATGAAATTACTGAATTGCCCTTTATGATATACATAGACATTAGATCTGTGTAGGTGCTCTGTGTGAAATCTTTATAGTAGTTCCTCATAGTTTTGAAAAGATTGTAGCTTTATCATGCAAAAAAAAAAAAAAAAAAAAAAAACCATTTTGTCCTTTTGAATTTGTTAAAATTTGTTAAATCTTGTGAAGTATGTTTATTATTTTTTAGCTTATCAGAAACTGCTTATTTGAGTCAATAAGTACGTTTTTATTTATTTTATTTTATTTTAATTCATCTAAACACTCAGACGCATCTTAACTCCATTATTCATCAAACATATTCATAGAAGAACAAACAAAGTCACAAAATAGTAAGTGAACACATGGTTAACCAAAATCATTTTATCATATGAATCAAATATCTAAAACAGTACTAATGCAACATTATGACACATAAACAATCTAACAAGTCTCAAGAAAGTGAAATGTATTTTGAAGGAAATAAATACTAAAAGGTCTTGTTCTTAAATTCAGCAAAAAAAATTCTTGTTCTTAAATTCAGTTGAGCTTTAACCCGGTTTCTGTAGGGAACGCCTTTCCACGATGATTGAAGATCATAAAGTTCATATTTGCGGGTAGAGACACGACCCTGCATTTCAACAAGTTCCAAAAATTACAATTTTGCCCCTTCTTTATGTATCATTTTTGTAAAAGATAAAGCTCAAAGAAACATAGAAAAGATTTCATTGAGATGGATGATGATGCAAAACATAAAAGAAAAAGAACAAGAAATTCAAGATAATTTTGGTGCGCTGATGGAATTAAGCAATGAAGCACATACTATTACAAATCTGCAAAGTGAAAAATCTTCAAGCATAAACTTAAAAGTTAAAACCTTAATCTTTTCAAAGTGTACATGTGCCAATGATACCAAAATATAACAGGTATATGCAATTAAGCTAAATGCTTCAAACTACTAATAATAAAGGTCTCATAATTCAACTCAATAGATCTTCTAATTCTAAAACTAGGCATAAGGTGTTTCATAATTCAAATACAGGACTTATATGCAATACGTAAGAATCCAAGAAGAAAACTTATCAGTTGAATAACAAGAAATTGGAAAAAAGAGCTTCCAATTAGAATCAAGTATCCACTTGTTTGGAAACTAACTATAGAATCAGATTTCACCTAAGTTTAAATCAATTATCGCTTTTTATATATAAAGTACCTGTTCTCGTCTGAATCTGGGAGTATAGATCGGAAATTCCCTGGAACTGTTAATCCAGCAAACAGACTCAAAACCAATACTAATGCCAATTCAAGTAGCACCTGTAAATTATACCCAAAAAGAGAAACGAGGACCAAATTAGATTCACAAACACACAAAAAAGAAAATACATGTATAAATCACAGAGTAACAGGGAGAGATTACTTCAAATGGAGGTCCGGAAAACTCATCCTCGGTGATCTTGAGCAAAGCCCTATCTGATTATCGAGAAAAAAAAGTTAGTTTATGATAGATGAAAATCAAAACCACAAGCAATTAAGGAAATCAGAGAGTTACATTGAATGGTAGAGTAAGCAGCGTGTAAGAGCATGAGAACTGCGATGACGCCGACGACGAAGCTCATACTCTTTGTCATGGTTGAAGCGATCGCCGGCGATGGCGATTAATGGAAGTTGGATTTGGGGTTTACAGATTTTACTAGGAAACGAATAAAAAGACGACGATTGGAATAGCGATACTGATAAAAAAAATATTTAATTACACAAGTAGTCCCTGTACTTGTACTCAACTGACAAATTTCTCCCCTAAGAAATTCAGGACGTTCGTTTGGATCCTAAAATATTATCATTTAACTTGCAATAAAAAAAATTTAATACCTTAAATTCATTTTAGAGATAATTACAAAACTGACCGAAACATCTATATAAAGTTTATTGCTTGTGTATTACAACTAATGCTCATGTATCAAACCAATTCCATATAACGGAGAAATTATACGAGAATATGAAGAAAAAAAAATTAATAAGAGAGAGAGAGAGACAGAGAGAGAGAGAGAGAGAGAGAGATGATGTTTTGGAAAATATGGGATTGTAAACGGTCTGAGGTTTGACCTAACCCGAATGTTGGAACTACCTAGAAACTAGGGATGATCGAGGGACGGAACCGGTACAGACCCGTACCGTTCCCGATTTCCTGAAAATCGAATTTGGTCAAAAATCAATCCCGAGTACCGAACTGAATTAACATCACCGGTATGAGGAATGGTACCGGTTTTCGGTACTAATACGGGTACCAACAGTACCGATTCCCGAATTTCATGTATTTTGAGTACCAAGTACAGTCCCATATTTTTAAATTCGGTACAGTTCGGTACTAGTTCCGGTACGGTACCAGCACGGGATCGGGATTTGGAAAAAACTGTTCATCCCTACTAGAAACCGCAATTGGCATTTGGTGGAACCTCATGTTGGAAAATTTAATAAAATTTATGTATTTTTATTAAACGTTTGACACACACACACATATAATTAATCATTTGTGGCTTGTGTTCTCTTTCATGAGAGCTTCAAAACAATATATGTAGTGTCCAAAATGGAGTATGTGTGAATAACATATCGAAGCTCAAAAATGAGTATTTGGAAATAAAGTTAGCAAATAGAGTGGTTGTGGGAATGAGTCTTACATAGGAAAATGTTCAAACTCTTAGTAGGTTTATAAACATATATGTATAATGAGTTTACAAGCTTTTATGTGTGGTTGTACTCCAACACCTATGCACACACATGTGGTTAAAATTATGGAATGCATTTTGAAGACAAAAATCACCGAGCTCATGTGTATACGGCACTTGAGGACACACTGGTTCATATAATCAAGAAATCATTGACTGATGACAAATCAATCAATACAATAATATCTTAGGTAAGATTATATGAATTCTAGAGAAGATCATGAGTTTTATCTATAACATCCCAATGATGAAGTACTTCTAATTTTAACCATATGTGTGAATAATACTGCATCTTGGCCCTTAGGATTGAAAAAGGATTGTAAAATGGCCCATAGTGGTAATATGGTAATTTGCCCAAGTGTGGTACGGTGGGCGTACACCTTGTACGCAGGGCGTACGTGAGGATTATGCAAACCCTAATTTTTATGGTTTGGTTCATATTTAAACCCCATTATAGCTTCATGTCTCATTTCTTCATCAGCCTCCTTCTGTGAAAAACGACCCCAAGCAAACCCTAAGTGAGAAAAGTGATTTTTAAGTCCATTTAAGTGTTTTGGAAGTGTTATTAAAGAAGAAGAAGGTGGTGAGAAGAGCTTGGAGCTTGGAATCATCTTGGATCTGAGATTTCCTTCTTGTTAGCAACCTCCAGGAGGTATAAAGTTTGCATCTTGATCACTCCATCTTGTAGATTTAGTCATTTCCTCCTTTAAGAAACTTTTTGTCCCAAAAATGGTGATTCTTAAGCATGGTATGTTCTTAACCCAATAAGTCATCCTCTCAAACCTTAGGAGGGGTCTTAAGTCATAAAAATGTGGTCTCCATGGTTAGTTTTTCTCTATACATGCTATAGAGGGTCTTAATGCATTAAGATGTTGAGTTTTTATGTTTTAAGCACTTAATGGATTAAGAAGAGGGCAACTGCATACGCTAGGCGTACCGCAGGGTATGTTGCGCGTACACAGATATGGCCCTGATGCCTCAAATGCTTGTACACCTCACGTACCTCCGAAGTATGCCCTGCATACGAGGCTCGAGTCAACTCAACTGTGTTGACTCGCTGACTTTGACTTTGACCAAGTTTGACTTAAGGGTATTTTGGGTATTTTGAGCAATAGTTGAGTCTTGGTCTCTATCTGTTGAATAGGTGACATGTAGAGACGGTATTTGGAGTAGTTTACGATTCAACTTTTCGTCATACTGTGAGGTGAGTTTTTCCTCACTGTACATTCGGGTCGAAGGCACCAAGGTCAACCGATTGGATTGATACACTGGTTTACCATGTGTTGCTATGTTGTAGTGATCTGTTAGATTTGTATCCTAGTTTATAGGATATTTCTATGTGGTAATGATCTGTAGATCTACCTGTTTGACTGTTGACTGATAATATGTTTATCTATTATGTATATGTCGACATATTGTGTTGGGTTGAGGTTTAATTGCTTTGTGTTGTAGCCAACAAACCCCAGAGCATTCCAGATATGAGTTGAGGCCCTATTGGCGTGCCAGACTCATACTAAGGGCTCGAGAACATTCCAGATACGAGCTAAGGGCCCAATGCGCCAACCGGACTCTTACTGAGGGCCCAAGGGTATTCCAGTCCAATGACTGAGTGGACCCATTGTATAATGGCACTCATGTCCAATGGCTAATTAGGTCATGGGTAATCTAGACCGATGGATGTGGACCCGGTGGTACTCCAGTCTGATGACTGATTGGATCCAACATGCTTGTTCATTTATGTTATGTATTTTGTGTGGTGGTACTTTAGGGGAAACTCACTAAGTGTTGAATTAGAGTTTTTGGTTATGGTTTCTGGTACTTCCGATGATCGCGGGAAGGCGAAGGCGCGACCGTACATATCCTGATTTTATGTTATTGATCTAAGGAAACTCCGTGTTTGAACAATGTTTTGAAAACAATGGTTTTCTAAACACTTTTATTAGTAAATTGGTTGATTTGAAAAGTTTTAATTGGTTGTGATTTTTGAGATGTTACATTATCCTTAAATATTACACATATATGAACAATTCTTCCATTTATCAATTACTTCAAAAGTCAAAAAAATTAAATTTAAGAGCTCCAACACATCAAGATCGTATGAAATGTGGTGTTTGTTATTCTATGATTAATTCTAGGGGTGGAATTGGTACGGTACCAAGTTTTTTTCCTTCAAACCGTGTACCGTACCAAATATAATTGGCATAAAGTTTTACCTACCAATACCGTACCAATGATACTTGGTACCAACTTAGTTGGCTACCAACAAATTTGGTTGGTA